TGACAACATTGAATGTAGCTTGGAAATAGCATAAATTATAACGCTTCAATTTGCTCTTGCACTGTCTTTAAACACTGATAATTAGAGATTTTGACGTAAATCAGTGTTCAGTGTCTAAAAATTCGCTCTGACGAAGGGTAACACTCGAAACAGCTTTAGAAACTCGACACGAAGGCCAAATTGCAGTTATACACATTCGGTTCATAAACCCACATTATCTTGCAAAACCCCCACCGACGCAGCTCCACAGTTTCTTTACAAACTTGCCCACTCTTTCTTTGGGACTTATGCCGGTCTCTCACCGTGCCATCTTATTTGAGGCTGCGGGAATAACGTTACAGAATGATTAACAGTCTACAGGGCTCAAGCACTTGTGTATGGCCAAAATTTTTAAAAAGGTATTTCTTTATCAAAACATTAGCAATGTGGTGTCATATTTTCTCGTCTGAAGGAGAAGTGTATCGCATATGCATGAAAACTCTTCGTAAACTAGTCTGATGTTACTGGCTTTCGTATAAATGTTTCATCGATCCTTTTGAAAATTGACAAAATTCTCGAAGTTTTTCAAAAAAATTTTTCTCTATGAAACTGTAGCGGACGGTAGACTTTGGTGAAAAGGATTTGTATTCCCCCAATGAAAACGTTTTAGTTGGGTCGGTTCGCGTCCCGGTTTGCTAACACTCTATATCAGCGACTGGCTCCCGGCTGATAGTTTACCAAAATGCACACTAAGCTCGACAAAGGAACAGTTCGCATCATTCAAGTCATAAGATTTACAAAATCACAGCCCAACACTATCTACTACTTACTCGTATAATATCGCAACGCTGACCCTTAAACGGCACGTGAGCGAGTTCAAAGGTAAATGTCTTAGGGTGCCATAAGTTGCTTACGTAACTTACCAGCACGTTTCTGGTCACTATGGAAATTATCCAGGTCGCTTGTGCGAACACTCGTGACTATTTGTTATGCAACAACTACTTTTACCAGGTATTAGATTAGCCAATATTGTCATGCAATGATATCGTGCTCCAAGTGTTATACAAGATTAGAGCAAAACAAGACACGAAGTCTCAAGAAGGTCAACGTGCAAAATCTAAGACAAGCTCGGTTGCATATGTTAAATATTCATGGTACAGATGGTGGTTTCGGCGAAAGTTTGAACAGAGAATAGAGCATAGTAAATTTCGTGACCTGGCCTCTTCACTGCATCACGGACTCAAAAGATTATCTGTCTTGGAAGTTGTTAGCAATTACTGTCGTTTCTATGTGTAGGACTTGGTTTTTGACCTTTTTCTCTCATTCTCACAACTGTAACTTAACAATATTGTATTAGTTCCACTCAGGAAACAGTAAACAACAGGCCTTCGCTCTGTTCGCATGACACGGTAAACACGAGACTTCAGAGGTCTTGATTTAGCGTGTCGTGGTCTACAACATGAAGAATCATCTTAGCTGTGACTCTCCTGGTCGTTTGATTTGGTGAGACCCCCTGAGGTAGATAGGATTATCCATAAATCTCCTTTTACCTCTGTTGCTTTAGCGGTGCAGTCTGGAAAACGGCATCCGCTCGCCTATACGAACTATCAATTTCGCCCTTTCAATTTTGTCTCTCAACATCGATCTTAAACAGAATTTTGCCACCAACAAAGTCGATCCTAGCTAAACTAGAACAGTTGTTTCTCAGAAACCCTGGATCTTGGGAACTATGATAGAAAATACGAACCTCGAGACTCATGAAATTTTTATAAAGAGGTTTCGAGATCGTGAAAATATTTTGCGAGACTCGTTTAATATCTACCCCTGGTTTTCCTGTGTGTGTCGAATCAGGGCTTAATTCGACCATGTCCGGGGGAAACCACATCGGAAATCCAGCTGGGGTTAAATATAATCTGTAATTCATGGCTAAAGTTGTTTACTCTTAAGTCTCGGATTTTCAAACAACGGCCTCGCGGCCACTATGCTCGCCAGTCTCGGATTTTACCATTCGCCACCGTTATATCCAACTACCTCTTAAAGCAAAGTAAAAAAGATGGTTAACTTAAAGCTCGGTAAAGAAATGGAGAATTATGATTTTTCGCCGCGCACAGCCTCTGTGGTCAGCGGTTGAGCATCAGAGCGCGTAATTCAATACAAATTTCTGAAAAGTTCACTCAATATCGCTGATGTTGTAATTTTTTTTTAAATGTTCCAAACGAGTGGTATACTTAATGAGTGCTTTACAATTAACGTTATATTGGAACTATATCTTCTCCGTTAAAGATATTTACGATTATCCACATCACGAATTTTTAAAAGTGCTATTCAGCCATCTTCGAGAAAAGCGCTCTGTGGTCGTTTTATTTGTTCTGTGAAGATTTCTAAGCTGGACAACACATTATTTTATTTATTGATCTTACAGTTTCATTGATAACCCTCGTAAAAATCTAACGGACCTTGTTTCCCAAGCCTAACCTCTTCATGACTTTGGCCACTGCTTCAGTGATATTGTTTTAATTGGTTTGCCCTCTGAACAACATTCCACTCAGACAAATGACTTTTAAAGTGTTTTTTCTGTCTCCTGTTGACTCTTTGATTCAAATGACCGTTTCTTAACACACAACACTTCCAATATTTCAACCATGAACTACTTCATAACCTCTAAAAAAAGGCATGTAGAATTGTGTGCCAGGCCAGCGAATCAGTTTAAAAATAAATATTTTTAACGATGAAGATATAGTTTCAGAAGCCGAAACGAAAACAAATCCTGCCGAGGGCCGGATGCAAGTACACTGAATACTTCAAAGCTTAAGACGACCGTGGTTTTTTTTTTTTTTTAAGTAGACAATAAAAAGAATTAATTTTCCACTACTTTAATATCTGGGTATGTGTGAGAAAAAATTGTACAACTATCCATAATATTTGGCAATATATTTTAGCGAGGTGCCAAGTTCTATATCCGTCCATTTATGACGTATTGTAGTCAGGTAGCCCTCAACATCAAATACAGAAATATCGACAGACACTTCAAAGCTCTTAAAGACGTCGACCCTTGATATTATTGTGCTATGTTGTAAATCTGTGGCGTAATTTGATCCAAGCTGTCGCCAGTATAAGTACAGCTTTAATGCAAAGTTCGAAAAATTGTTATCATGTGATCTTTAACCTGCACTTCTAAAAATTGAGACACTTGTTTGAACACGGAGACTGTAAAAAGATTATTATTCTGACAATTTCATGAAATTCTGGCAAGAATAATTAAAAATTGTTGTGTGCATTTAATAAGAGACGTTCTTACTGAGTGCACTTCTACCTCCTATACCATGTTTTAGGCAAATTTTGCGTCGTTATCGATGAGGACAATTTTTTTTGCGGCACTATCAAACTATGGTGGAATTTTCCCCCAACTGACTTCATCATGAGTACAGCCGCTTTCCTGAAGAAAAAAAACTTAAAATATTTTTGGTTGTAGATTTTGCTTGACGGACTGATTAGCAAAATTTACCTCTGCTCGGTATATAGAGGCAGAAAAAGCAAAATTTTTCCTGAGGCTGATATTTGTGTTGAACTTTCACCCGGTTAACATATATATTTTCTGCTGTTTTTGCAATAGTAGACGCTAAAAATATTTAAAGCTGGCACGAAGCCCGGTTAGAAGCAATAGCGGATGCCTTAAGATGTCGCCATATTCATGAGTCATTTTTAGTTGTTACCTCAGTCCTCCTACATGTCTTATGAAGTTGTTTTGCCGGAAAAATATGGGAGTTCCTATCCGTCAAAAATTGAAAATGAGATAAATAATGGACAAAAAAAAAATAAAAGGAAAACCTTGGCAGATCTACCATTTTATTTGTGATGTATATTCATTTCGAAATATGGTCCAAGCGAAATATACAATATTCTTTAAGTTGAATATTTTGTTTTTAAAATTGTTCACAGACCTCATAGTACGCAATTTCACTCTTGATTTACGGAAGTTTCGTAGAGACCCACTTCTGTCAAATTAAGTTTGTGGTTTTCAAAAGCTATTCCTGGGGTTTTGCGAAATTAAAATATTCTTCACCTTTCCCAAAGGCAACTAAGCTCTCGGCATAAAATCTTAATTATCTGAGCATCTCATCAATTTTTGCGATATTTTCTCATTTCTTGTGAAGCCAGCTGCCTAGTTTCAACGATAAGAAGTTATTCCGTGTAAATTTGACAGCTCTACTCATGAATTTTTCTCTCCATTATTAATTTTCTTTTTTTAGAATCAATACGCAAAATTATATTTATTTGTACTAACATCGTAGGCGCTGTGGCAGGCATGTGATTGTTTCAATGTTGTAATCGTATTCGTTTGACTGTCACCATCCTACCCTTTGACATCAGAGACTTTAAGCAAAACCAGAAGTACTTAAACTACGAACGTCATCTGTTTAATTTAATTTCCCTCTCACTCCCACTTCCTTCAAATTTTTCAAGCCCCAATCATGCGCAGTTTTCGAAAGTCTTCCTTCTTTCGTTTTATCTAGAAAGTTTCCCCGCATAGATCGTGACCCTCGTCAAAACTGAAAATGAAAGAAGGAAAAAGGCACGTTTGGTAGTTAACTCTCATACTTCAGTTAAGTTGTGAGAACCGGAAGGACAATCTACTCTGACGATGCAATGACCTTGGCGAAAAAAGCGTTTGCGTGTTTCCTGTTGCGTGTTGATCCAAATCACTTTATCGTAATTCGTGAAATATTTGCTGACTGTTTTACTGAAAATAAAAAAGATATTCACAGAATCGAAGACTGACCAGTATCGACAGAGATGAGAGTGCTTGCGTTCTATAAGTTATGTAACAAGGGAATGTTTTACGAAATGTGAAACACACGGCTGATGTAAGAGCGACCTTGTCATGCGCCTCATGCGATGCATGTGAACGTCAGCTGGAAAACTAACAGACTCTTGACCAATCACAGCCCACGTCCTATATTATTCAACATAAGAACCAATCAGATGTTCTCGTGAGAGCGTACGCCGGTTAATAACTTGTTCGAACAATTGTCTCAGAAAAGTTTTTAGCGCTACCACGGGAGTAGGTCGTGAGGGGCCTTTGAAATGTTTCTACCTTTATAGCAGTGGCTCACTTTTTCCTAAGAGTCCTAGGGAACACATCGACTTCACAAAGACACTCACAATGTCTAAAGAAACAAACTCGGATTTTCTTGGCTCTGCTTTCACGAACATGAAGCTTGTGGGAACCGGTGGAAGCGGCGCAGTTTATTCCGCCATCGATGTGGAAACCGACCAACGGGTTGCTCTTAAAAGACTTATTCTTCGAGATCGAATGAATTGTAGAGCAGCTCTCAGAGAAGTGAAGGCTTTGAAGACTTTAGAACACGAGAATGTGGTGAAGTTATTAAAAGTGGTGGACTCAGAAGGCATGCCGTTCCTGGACGGCATGGACGAACATTTTAGAGGGGCGACCGAACTTTATCTTGTAGAAGACTTGATTGATTCTGACCTACATCAAATCTTACAAAGTAAGGGAAAACTACGGGAAGACTATGTGAAATTATTTTTATATCAACTGTTACGAGGACTGAAATACATCCACTCCGCGAACGTAGTTCATCGTGACGTGAAACCAAGTAATTTGCTAGTTGACTCCGAAACGTTACTCCTGAGAATAGGCGACTTCGGACGATCACGAATTCTCGATCCGGCTTACTCACACTACGGCCATCTAACTCACAGCGTCTCGACCTTGTGGTATAAATCGCCTGAACTGCTGTTGAACGCATCGACTTATGACAGTTCGGTAGATATGTGGGCCGCGGGTTGCGTTTTTGCTGAGATGTTACTGGGCAAACCCCTGTTCGAAGGGAGGCACGAAATCGATCAAATGGAGCAAATTTTGGACTCTGTTTGCCTTACGGAGGAAGAATGGATAGCCCTTAAACCACATTTGCCAGAAACAACGGCTATGAAAAGGACTCAGGGGCAAGGATCTGCTTTGGGAAGCAAGTTTCCTCACATTGACATCCAAGGTAAGGCCGGTTTCGTTGTCGGTTCGAACCATGTAAACATTGAAATTAATTTGCATACTTGCGCGATGGTCAATTATACTTACGTAACTTAAATTTGTTTTTCTATGATTTTCGCCTTCTTATGCGCTGTCGCCGTAATTTTTTTCGTGTATTTATAATGGAGCAAACCCGTTTTTTCTGAGCCTTCCTCTTTCTATTCAAGAATTCTCTCTGATATTTCGCTTGTAATGCTCGCTTCAGAATTGTACTTTGACACCCTATGAATATTTCATGAATTCGAAAATAAAATACAAACAAAGAAAAAATTTTTTACAGGTATCTAGGGTGTATCTGCAGGGTGAAGTTGTCTTTTTATACTGTCTAAATTTTTACGAGTTCAATTTAGTCTTTCGGAATGGATGTGGGTCAGAATCTACGAAATGAAAATGCTCGAATTGGGTGGTACTCTTGAAAAAATTTCGTGAGTCAGGAAATTGCTAAATTTAACCATGATAATAATTGTCAATGAACGGCCGTAATATCCCCTCTCGCCTGTTATGTTTTGGAGTAAAAATCGACTATCGGGTCCATTTACAAGAAACATTCGAGATTTTTCCCCCTTTTTTGTGACTTTCTAGTGGCGCAACAGATCGGCAAAAATCACACCATTAGACAAAATATTGTTTACGTTTCAGTGCAGTCGCGGGTGGCAAAGCAATTTATCTTTTCCTGTTCTCTTGATGATTTCTGTTTTCATCTGTTCGAGTGAACTCTACATGTGAAGTATTCAAAAGTAGTGGGATGGTGAATCGATGCCGTGTTAGTTTTCTGGCGATTTATTAGCGAAACCGAAAACCATGCAGTTATTAATATTCTTAAACCACATACTGAACTCGATGGAATGTTCTGTGTGATTGGCTGACTAACAATAAAGAACTGGAAATAACCTAAATGTTAAGCATTCTAGCAATACCTAACGATTTACATGCCCAGAATCAGGCGCTGAAAGGGAACTAGTAAAGTTTCAGTATACAAACAAAAAACACTCGTGAAGAAGCGAAATTCTTCATATCCCTGGAAACCAAGCTGTAAATATTGACACCTAGAACCTTATATGCTAATTTTTTCTAAGCTTCCTCTAGTTCTTAGCAAACAAAATTCACACATGCATGAATTTATGTATTTCATAAGTTTGCTTAGGGGGGAAATCACTGATTTGTCTCTGAGAGACTCTAACATCTCTTTGCCTTATATAACATTGTTGGCATAAATGTAATGGTGAGTATGTAGTAACATCATAACAAAATTAACAAATAACCACCACATTTTCTTGAAGTAATGTCAGCACTCAACATTTGCCTCTTGTTATTATTTGCAGCTCTTGATCTGCTGGTGAAAATGCTGAAGTTCAACCCAGATAAAAGAATGACTGCAGAAGAAGCCCTTGCACATCCTTACCTTCATCAGTACTCATTCCCTTCAGATGAACCTATCTGTTTCGAGCCATTGCACATTGAGGATGAAGTTGGAGACTTTGAAGAGGGCACATTGAAAAGCTGGATTTTAGAAGAGTGTTCTTCATTTGAAAGTAGTGGCTCTTTTGAAAGCTCTGTTCCAGATGTTGTTGTTAAAGAAGTTGTTTTGGAGAATCAAGATACTGGAAATGACATATTATCTTTAAAGGACATTATGCAGGAGCCAGAAGCCCCTTTGCTGGACCAGTGCAAAACCTGCATTGATGTGTCGGAGCGTTTGGGATTGGAAACTTGCAAAGAAGGACTTGAAACTTTGGCTGCTGCTTACAAAATCCAAATGTCCTTCAATGGCACTATTGATCCTAAAGATCAGGCAAAACTCTTTGAGTTTCATCATGCCAACATGCCTTCATCCATTTTAGATGGTATGTTTGGCAAGGGTGCTTTGAAGGAAAATGTGAACTTTACATGTAAGAAAAACGTTTTTAATGGACCGTTTGGATTGTGTTATTTTTAAATGGTCACTATTGAGTTTTTGTACTTGAGGATTCACATGATTCACGTGTCTAATCAATGTTAGGGCTGGTTCAGCACCTTGAAACTTGCTATGGTGCTTTGCCTTGGTTTAGTGGAAGGGGTCGTTGTGTTGAAAAGTGAGTGTTTGTTCATTGGAAAGTGTTGTGTTGTCTGGTTTTTATTAGAAGTTAAAATCTTAAAAAAGGAAAACAAATTGGGAAACTAATTGGATTTTCCTGTATGTAATTTGATTTATTCTTTATTTCTTTGTCAGTGTTTCCTTCAAGTACTTTGCCATTCATGGCTTAATTTACCACTAATTGTATTTTAAAAAGTATCCGTTATTGCATTTTGCCCTATTTAAAGTAATAGTTTGAAACAGTTAGGTTTGTGCCCAAGGGTTTCTTTTATGTATGCTCTTGAAATTGTAATTTTATTTATTGGTGTTCATTTTTAAGCAATTTCGTAAAATAGTTAGTGAAGGACAGTTCATTTTTTTGTGTGTGTGTTGATGGTAACTTTCTTTTTTTACTCTCTCTCATTTTTGAAATTCTCCAATGGTTTTAAGGTTTCATAAACATAATTTCATATTATTTAATTTTTTTGACAATTGTCATTTGTAAGAAAAAAGAGAAAGAAAGAAAAAAAAATTAATATTGATTAAATTGCAATTTGCCTGGCAAAACAAAAGGAAATCATCCTTACTCAAGCTTGGCCCTTGATGAAATTATGCTAACAATTATGGCTATTAACAAGAAAAGACAGATGTATCATAATATAATTTATCATAATTTAATTTATTCGGGATGTGGGGGGGTATGAGCGAACATGAAAAATTTACCAAAGAGCTCTTGTATATTATGCCTGAGCTGTTCAGGGAATTTTCTTTGGGAAAATGTTATTTTTTGTCAAACATATAAGGTCACATCCTATGTGAACGTAACATTGTGAATTAAAATGTCGACGCTACGCTTAGATTGATGAGAAGCTTAAATTTGTCAATTCGGTGTAGAGTAGTTTAAATTATATAAACCGTTGCACTTACGCTATGGCCGGTTATTTATGGTGCTGTGCCAAAATAAACTTTGCTATATTTGCTGTAAAATTGAGGAAATTATTTGCTAAATAAATAACTGTTCACTTTAAACTCTGTCTACTCCGTCTTAGTAGTTGTAAGGAGCTGTAAAGTAGAGTCAGTTACTGGCGAAGTACACCAGAATGTATGACAATCTTCGTCATGCTCACGTTTTCTCTCATGCGACCCAATATTCACGTGATACTCTGCACGTGAAGAGACAGTATTGTTTACTCGCTCTGGTCGAAATGTACGTATTGTTTCTAGAAATATCTTCAGGTGATAGAATGGTCGATACATTAACGCTGGTTCATCGAGATATGAAGCAGCTGGAACATGATACAGTCGCAATCGGCTGCTCCTCGAGAAACTTACTCGTCACTTTGATACCGTTAATTTCTCTTAAGTATTTTGATGAACACGTAATTGACGTCTGAACCAGTTGTTTCATAACATTTCTGTCCCATTATTTTAGTAGTACTGTTGTGCAAGCGTTAAAGCCTGCACGCACATTACATCATCAACGTGCAAAGTGCCCGTTTGATTTTATTGAATTGATTTTAAAAATTTACAAGGAAAAATTATTGGTTGCAGATGTTAGCAACCGAAATTTCAATGATGTAAGTTTGTCGGAAGTAACATAATCTGTCCGTTAGTGGCATCTTTTACGCTTTTTAAAACATGATTTACATATCAATGGCGTGCACGCGATTACGCACGTGCAGGTTTAACACGTACTCGGCCGCGGTTCATTGACTTTTGTCTTCTGTTCCACAATGCGCGCTGAAAGGTCATCCTTTGCGACTAAAAATAAGTCGTTTGTCAAAGAATATTGCCAATCGATTGATTTCTCTCGTCGTCGATAAGAACACATCATCCATAAAATTTCTTAAGGCAAGCATATCAGACTGTACAGGGTGATTCAGTATTATCAACTGAGTTGACAACGTGAATTGGCCATTGTTAAGAGTTACAAAGCTGACGTTTCGAGCATTAGCCCTTCGTAAGAGCGAATGATCTAACAATATTCTTTTTCAAGGCTAAAAATTTAACTCGAAGTGCTTTCCTGAGATAAACAAACTTTTGGGGTAGTAATTTTGAAAATCCAAAGTACATGTTTGGATTTAACTAGCATTGGTTTGCATTCACGTGGGCAGCACACTACATTTTACCATATTTTGCTGTTTGCGTAGATATTGCTTCTGCATCATTCTAAAATGAACCGTGTAAAACGTCAAAGAGGACTTCGATAAGTTAAAATTAAAAGTACATCGTACGGACCTGAACTTCTCATAATTGATTGGGGACCCTCGGACCGGTCACCGCTAACAAGGCGGAGAAGTGATGCGTGGTACACTTTCAACGCAGCCGGCCACTCGCGCGATACCGAAGCGTGTAAGGGTGTATGCAAGGGTACAATGTAACGTGATTTCAGGTCGATTATTTTGAAAGGCGTGAACAATCCCCCGCTGTCTGTTGCAGTTTCTGCGTAACTCAAATTGCTACTAAATTGTCTCAACTTTAAAAAGGCCATATAATTTTAATCGATAATTTAAGTTGATACATAATCCTCACATAGCAACATAGAGCTGGCTGTCCTTTAAAAGGATAGAGGCACTAAAAATTCCATACTGTGACTTCGACATTCCGTGAACAGATCGTTACGAATTCGAGAATGTCTATCTCCTGCGGTCTCTTTCGCAGCCTTGTCTGGTCTGGCCACGCAACGCATTCTAATAGAGAAACTGTTGCGTGTAAAGACCAAACATGGTAAACCAACGGCTGCCAAATTACCGAACGAATGTCGACTTTCGACAGAGCTGATTAAAACTAAATTTTTGTTCCATCATCAATGAGATGAGATGTAGCTTAGGTATATTACTGAACCCTAAAATGTTTGTCAAACACTACCGCGACCAAGGATTTGCAAGGTTAAAGACATACTCTCATAACCACATTTTCTTCCTTAGAGAGCTAAACCCTCTGACCCTTAGGAGTGACTAGTATCGGGATTATTTTCATTCTATCAGTGATTTGATTCTTCACAATGTCTCTATGTAAGCAACGTAAATGTACGGCGTTTAATGGCTGTGTCAGGGGCCCATTAATAATGGGCTCCTGCTGTGTTTTTCAATTTCGAAAGCTTGTCTCCAAGCTGTGACGTCGGTCAAGGTAAAACAGGCCGAAATTATTACCCTTGTGATTAAAGTGACGTTGTAAAAAATGGAACAAGATAATTTACCAGAAGGTAGAAAAGACGGGGGAGTTTGGGAGTTTGGGGTCCTGATCCCATTTCACGCATGAACTTTAGAAAAATTAATGCGTCATGTGTACTTAAAAAAGTATTGACATGTCACAAATTCGCGTAAAATTCACTTATCGCGTAACCATTTGGGCTAAATAACCCTTAACCACCCTTTTGCTACAACCTTCAGTGTTCCACGTACATTAATACATTTACATTGCCACAAAGCCCGTTAAAAGCGTCATTTCCAGAGTTGATCCAGGTGACGGTATAGTAATAATGTGTTCGCACTTTCAGCTCACGACTGCACCAAATTCCACGCAAACTCCTGATTACAAAACGAAAACCGCTCATTTTTCAATACTTCTTACACTTAGAAAATAACGTCTTATCCTGTTGATTGAGAAACGAACCTTTTGAACGACTGGAACTTGCTGATCCGAGCTAAATTAAAAATAAAGCACATCATCTTCAAAATAAAAATGTCCAGTCATTATGACGTAAAAAGTCTCCGCATTCCAATGCATCTTAGACGTAAACTAAATTTTCACTTACGTTAGTTTTTCTTGATTCTCCGTCAGTTAAGACGAACGAAGGAAAGGTAAGCGTTAAATGGCGGCTAGGGTTGTCAGCGGACCCTCACGATCTCGGAACAAGCTGGTCCAGGCTCCCGGAGAGTAGAAATTCGCGATAAAGGGGGAGAGCTACAAACGCGTTGTTTTACGCGCGTATGCTACTTTGCTTATCCCCGACACAGTTGCCAATCCCTCTGACGAAGGGCTAGCGCTCGAAACGTCAGCCTCTAAACTCTTAACGGTGGCCAATTTACGTTTTCAACCCAGTTGATAAAACCAAATTACCCTGTTATACTCTCCCACCGACGCGGCACCACAGTTTCTTTAGAAACTTACCCTCTCTACAGTTGCCAAAAGTCAGGCATGTGCAAGTGGATCAATTTGCGCCGGCCTCGCGCCTGATATCAGCGGGAACTTTCAAAGGGAAAATTTAAAAAGCAACTGCTGTGCCATAGCGTACAGAATTCTATTAAAGGAAAAAAAGTGGAGAAAAGGGAAATTCGAGAATGTTTGAACGCGAGCCTTATTTAAATTACGACTTTTGCGAGTATTCTGATTACTTTCTTTTTAACTCGACAAGCTGAAAGTACACCATAGCACATGCGCAAACGTACGAACGCCATGTCATTATGCACTACCACCCACTGCAGGCGAGTCACCCTTAAGAACCAGTTCTCTGTGGCAGCCAACTCTACTCAACCACAAACAAAACATTTTAACTATTAAGGAAATCTTTATTGACAAGACGAATTTGTCCTTTTTTAACACAGTCATTTAAAAAATACAACTGATTCTAAAGTTATATACCTCGATAACTATAGGATACAACTTCTACAAAACTAAAATGTCTTTAAAATTTTTACAATTGACTCTTTTTGTAACAGCAATGTCAACTAAATATTATTCACAAAAACGTTAAAAATTAATTACTCAGATACCATAATTTCCTTAAGGATAATGACTTTGAAATATTTTTTAGTATTCCATAACGGAATCATGTGATTTAATTGCAAACGTTAACTGAGTAATGTTCTTGAATTCAAAAAATTTACAAAGAAAGGTAATTGTTACACATATCGTAACAAATAAATTGTTTCATCATAAACTTATAAAAAAGTTTTCTTAAAAGCTGTTCTGTAGGATGTCACGCAACACAGTCTCTCCCAGAAGGACGAGCAGTGCGTAACATCCCAAACAACAGTTGCTAAAGGTACTTAAACCCCATTCGCAGTAAAGCTTTAAAACATGTCTTTAAGCCGTTTAGGTTAACACGGTTAAAAAGTTTTCTTCATAGCTGCTTCAACTGATGTTTGTTGATTTCCAATTTAACATATTAAAAATACATGTTAGTGAATAGATGAAACCTGTGGAAAACTTTTTCTGTTTCTGTTTTTAATTCTGTCAAACCCGGTTTGACTACACATGTTTTGCCAGTGTGAACGGGGTTTAATTTGAGCTCTGCATTTCATCCCAATACAGTTGGAAATTGTAGACAATATTAGTTATTTTTACAACAGTAAAATGTCGCATGTGAAATTCCATTTCTCAAAAAAAGCAATAAATATCATTCGTATTCTACAAATTCAAGTTGGTGCTTTAAACAGCCCTGTTTTTTAATACAAATTTAGCATAAATTAGGATGGCCCTTTATTCAAGGGATGTTGCCTCCATGAGGATGTTGGTGATTAACGGTAAATGAAATCTATATACAATGTTTTCAGATTCCTCTCCACATTATGAGCAATACAGATACATCATAGAGTTTAAAACGTTCTCTGTTAACAAAAAAAAGAAAAAAAGAAAAGAAAAAAACGGGTTTTAGAGATAATACGGTTCTGGTAAACCAGACGGTAGCGCTAAAGGATAAAGAATTGTACTGCGCAGCCTTCATTCTCACCATTTCCCGAGTGATTAGCGTGCACGTGAATACACGAGGACTCCAATGGCTAAATATTGCCAGATTGGTAAATCACCATCTTTTAGTGCAAGAGCATGCTGTTAGTATTTTTCCCCTCGATTTTCAAATCTTTCTGCGAAGTAATAAAGGACGCTAGCTTCACTAACATTTGGCAGCTTTCCAGGCTTT